GCCCAGGCTGGCCTCGAACTCACAGAGATCCGCCTGGCTCTGCCTCCCGAGTGCTGGGATTAAAGGCGTGCGCCACCACCGCCCGGCATGGCCAAGCATTTTTAATTAATATTAAATTAAGACTCTGAGTGGTTACTTGGGAGCAGGCAGTTGGGACAGAAAACTCTGCCTACAGATCCCACTTCCTCTCTGACTTCCTTAGGTACCAGGCACATACGTGGTACACAGACATGTAACAAAAAAACTCACACACATAAAATAACACTTTAAAAATTTTTCAAATAAATAAATAAATATATTTTCTAAAGTAACAAATCCCAGAATTCAGAAAGCTGAAGCAAGTAGATAAGACCTTTATTTAAAAAAAAAATTAAGCAAATTAAACAAAAACGTATTTACTGCAGGGTAGTGGTGGTGCACACACCTTTATTGCCAGCACTCGGGAGGCAGAGGCAGGCGGATCTCTGTGAGTTTGAGGCCAGCCTGGTCTATGGAGAGAGATCCAGGAAAGGCACAAAGCTACACAGAAAAACCCTGTCTCGAAAAACCAAAAACACAAACAAACAAAAAAACATATTTACTGATTTTGATTGATAAGTAAATTATTTTATAATTAGCTTTATCTGTATCTTGATATTTTCTTTTTAATTAAAAACAAAAATGTCACCAGGGTAGGGGTGGAGCACACCTTTGATCCCAGCACTCAGAAGGCGGATCTCTGTGAGTTGGAGGCCAATCTGGTCTACAAAGCGAGTTCCAGGACAGCAAGGGCTACACAGGGAAGCCTTGCCTCGAAAAACCAAAACAAACAAAAAAATGTCACCAAGTGTGGTAGCACATACCTTTAATCCCAACACTCAGAAGGCAGAAGGCAGATCTCTGAATTTAAGACTAGACTAGTCTGTATAGTCAGACCCTTTCAGAAAAAATGTCTTCCCTTGATTCTTTGACCTCTAACACTAACAATAACTTTTTTTTGTTGTTGTTGTTGTTTTTGTTTTTTCGAGACAGGGTTTCTCTGCGTAGCTTTGCGCCTTTCCTGAAGCTCACTTGGTAGCCCAGGCTGGCCTCGAACTCACAGAGATCGCCTGGCTCTGCCTCCCGAGTGCTGGGATTAAAGGCGTGCGCCGCCACCACCGCCCCGCAACAATAACTTTTTTATTTGGAGCTACTTGTTTATCAAGATAAGATCTCAGGTAGCTTGGGTTAGCTTTAAACTACAGATGGATCCTCCTGCCTTAGCCTAAATGCTGGAGATACAGGTATACACCACTCACCCAATAAAAGCAGGCTTTAAACAAATGTCAAAAACGGAGATAGAGAGTAGTTAAGAACACTGGCTGTTCTTCCAGAGACCGTGGGTTAAATTCCCAGCACACACATGTCAGCTCACAACTATCTGTAACTCCTGTTTCAGGGGATCTAACACCCTCAACACAGTCATACATGCAGGAAAAATACCAATGCACATTAAAAAAAGTTTAAACCAAAGCCAGAAATGGTGGTGAATACCTTTAATTCCAGCACTAGAATGACTGAGGAAGGCAGATCTCTGAGTTCTAGAGAAACTGTCTCAAACAAACAAATGAATAAAAATGTCAAAACCCGACTCAACAAGATGGTTTAATGCGTAAAAGCACTTGCTACATCCTTATGACCTGAGCTTTTCTGATCCTACATAAAAGGAGTGACTCCCACAAGTTGTCCTCTGACCTCCACAAATGCGGATGTGCACACACCTGAACTTAGACACACACATATGAGAATAATAAAGAAAAAATAATTTAAAAAATAATTTACTAGCCAGGCGGTGGTGGCACACGCCTTTGATCCCAGCACTCAGGAGGCAAAGGCAGGTGGATCTCTGTGAGTTCCAGGCCAGCCTGGTCTACAGAGCCAGATCCAGGACAGGCACCAAAACTACACAGAGAAACGCTGTCTCAAAAAAAATTTTTTGTACTAGTCAGATTTTTTGTCAGCATCTGGAAAAAGGAACCTCAACTGAGAAAATACCTCCATCAGACTAGCCTATAGGTAAGTAGATAAGGGCATTTTCTTGATTAATAATTTATATGGGAAGATCCCGTCCACTTAGACCATGCCATCCCTGGGCAGGGGGTCCCAGGGTGTATAAGAGAGCAAAGTGAGCAAGCCTCTAGGAGCAATCGGTAAGCAGCATTCCTCTGTGATCTCTGCTTCATTAAGTTCCTGCCTCCTGGTTCCTGCCTTGCTTGAGTTTCTGCCTTGGCTTCCCTCGGGGAAGAACAATGATCCAGACACAAAAGCCTGAGTTGTTTCTGGTCATGGTTTTTATCACAGCAGTAGAAAGCACACTAAACCAGAAATACCGGCTGGGAATAGAAGGAACAATTGTCTAATATGCACAAAGCCCTGGGCTTAATCTCCATTTCCTCTTGGTGGCCAGAAGGGGTCGGGGGAGAACAACCCCCTGATAGGGCTGGGAAAATGGTTCAGTGGGTAAAGTGCTTGCTATGCAAACCTGAGGACCTGAGTTCAAATCCCCAGCACTCATGTAAAAGCTAGGCACCATGCCCATTGCCTGGGGAAGGGAAAGAGACAGGCAGACCATGGTGCCTCCCTGGCGAGCCAGTCATATCAAAACAGTAAGTTCCAGGTGCAGGCTCAAAAAATAAGGTGGGCAGTGATAGAGGAATCCATTTAATGCGTCCTTCCACATGCATACACAGACAAATGACAACCATTCATGCATACAAAGGCAAATGCACTGGAAAACATGCACATACATGCATACACTGCACCCACACAAATACAAAAATAGCTGAAACCAATATAAAAAATAATTACAGAATCAGTAATTCTACCCACACCCAGTATAAATGCAACCAAGCTACATTTTTTATTTCTGAGGTGCTAGAGACTGAACCCAGGGCCTCACCTATACCAGACAAGTATTCTATCAAACTCACTCTCTAGTTCCAGGGTCTTTGATCCTAACAGCATGGACAATTTTCTATCCAGGCCATTTCCCTTCCCTCTCCCTACATTCCAGAAATCAGTCAATCTAGTCTGAGATAACTATCACAAGAGCTAAACTCTTCCTTAGAAAAACTCAAAAACTTCTGTGTTTTGGAGTACCAAGAAACAACCAAATTCTAGGATGTCCTCAACTACAACTGTCTTTGTAGCTGTTCTGTTTTTCTTTTTCTACTTCTTTTCAGGCAGGGTTTCATATAACCACAGCTGGCCTCAAATTCACTATGTAGCAGATAGGATAACCTTGAACCTCTGATACCCCGGCCTCTACCTCTCCACCTCAGATTTATCCAGTGCTGGGAATCAAACCCAGGGCTTTGTGCATGCTAGACAAACACTCCACCAACTGAACCTGAATCTCCACTAGCTGGTTCGTATACGTTTTGCGTCAGATTTCACTCTGTGGTTTATGCTGACCTGAAACTCACTCTGCCAAGCTATGCTCCAGATCTCAGTAAAATCTTCCTACCTTAGCCTCCCAGCTACTGAGATTACAGGTGTGTGCCTGCCACCACACCCAGGTGTACTTAGTTCTCAAGACTGCTCTCCAAATATTCACTATATGAATCTTAGACTAACCCCAGATGTCAATATTACCAGACACTTCTAGATGACATGAACGTTCAAAGTATCTGACAGCCAGAAGACAAAAGGCAATTAACACAAGTCAGCCACAGTTGCAGGGACCTGTAATCCAAGCATTCAGGAGGCTAGTCTATCAATTCAAGGTCAGCCTTAGTTACCAGACGCCTTGTCACACAAAACTAACAAAATTCAGCCATACAGTCAAAACCCTCAGCTTCTCAATCCAATTACCCTGAAGGAGACCCTGTTCTTAACCATCCCACACCCAGAAAACAGGAGGGCGGTGTGTCCACTTCCCATCCATCCCCTCATCTCCATCTCGAGTCTGCTCTTCTTTCAGACAGGCAGCCAAGAGGGAGAAAGCTTTCCTTCCCAGGGTAACTCCTGTTCCGCTTTCCCATAACTCCTTCATCAAACAGGAAAAGGAGAGACAAGTGTGACCCAGGGATCCCCATACCAAACAAAGGGAAAGCATGGGCCTGTCTTCTAAACTTAAGTTTCCCTGCATCTGCCAAGACTAGAGAAGCTGGAACCCACAACAGCAGCGCCACTCTACCAGCGCTGGGGAGACTCCCTCCCTAAAACGCTTTAATTAGCAGAAAAAAAAAACATAAAAATACCAGTTCTTTAAACGGTCCCGAGCTTCCAACTGGGCTCCCACTTCAAAGCTGATTCCTCGTCTGTTAGGTGGATGCTTTGTCATTTTCAGTCATCAACAGGGCTGCTTTTATTCTCCTGAAAAAGCCAATTAAATATTTATGAAACTTGGGAAAGTCTGTCCAGTGTGCAGCATCACCACCACGATAAAAAAAAAAAAAACCAAGCAAGCATTATTCAAATCACCAAGCTCCATGACTCTGTCAGTACCCTCTCGGGCCTCCCGTCCTATCGGGTGTCCCCATGAGCAATACACCTCCACTGTGCCGCAGCCTGTGATCTCTGAAAATTCAGAAGACCCTCTCAGCAAGGCTTACCAAGGTCTCACCTATGAAGTACATCCCTCAGAACTCCAAAAAATAACTGCTCTCGTGATCGAGTTCAACCACTCAATGACACATTCAACAAATATTTCTTCAGAGAAGATTTAGTCAAGACCCAAGGAGACGAACAGTTCTTACCCTCAAGGAGCCTTCATATTAAAATGTTGCCAATAAACAGAAGTCAGTTCAAGCTGTAATTGCTATAAAAATTAAGTGCTAGAAAGGAAGTAAATGTAAACTGGGATACTAGCCAAGAATGGTGGCTTGGGCCGGCAGTGCCAGCTACGTGGAAGCTGAAAGAGGATCCCTAAGCCCAGGGCAGGGGGTTGATGCCAACTCTGAACAACAAAGCAAGAAAAACAAAAAACAACAACAAAAAAAGACACACTGATGGCACCCGACCCTACTTTTGGAAAAGTAGACAAGAAGTTGTAGGGCTGGCCAGGCAGTGGCGGCCCACGCCTTTAATCCCAGCCCTCAGGAGGCAGAGCCTCTGTGAGTTCGAGGCCAGCCTGAGCTATAGAGCGAGATCCAGGACAGGCACCAAAACAACACACACAGAAATCCTGTCTTTAAAAAAAAAAACAAAAGGGCTGAGGACATAGCTCAGTTGGTAGAGTGCTTGCATAGGATACACAAGGCCCTGTTGGATCCCCAGCACCAAATAAGGACAGGTATGGTGGCCCTCCCTGTAATCTAAGCAAGCAGAGGCAGAGGCAGAGGATCAGACATTCAAGGCCTGGTATTCCTTGTCAACCTTTCACCCTCAAGAGGTTTCCTTATTTTTCTATAATAAATCTGTTCCCAGGCTGAAGAGATGGCTCAGAGGTTAAGAGCACTGGCTGCTCTTCCAGAGGTCCTAAGTTCAATTCCCAGTAACCACATAACTGTCTATAATGAGATCTGGCATACAGGCATACACACAGGCAGAACACTGTATACATAATAAATAAATAAGTAAATAAATCGCCAGGCAGTGGTGGCATACGCTTTTAATCCCAGCACTTAGGAAGCAGAGGCAGGCGGATCTCTGAGTTCAAGGCCAGCCTGGTCTACAGAACTAGTTCCAGGACAGCTAGGGCTGTTACATAGAGAAACCATCTCAAAAACCAACCAAACAAACAAACAAATAAATAAATCTGTTCCGTTCCGGAGCTGGAAAGATGGCTCAGTGGTTAAAGCCAATGGCTGCTCTTTCAGAGGACCTGGGTTCAATTTCCAGCATCCACATGACAGCTCACAGCCTTCTATAACTCAGGTTTCAGAACTCAACATCCTGGATAGTTTTTCTTGTATTAGTTATAAGCTTTTTTTAATTTTAGACAAAAAGAGAGGAAATGTGGTGGTATTGTGTTCCCCAAAATATTGTGTACCCTAATAAACTTATCTGGGGTCAGAGAACAGAAAAGCCACTTAATAGTTGTGGCATACGCCTTCAATCCCAGCACTAGGGAGGCAAAGGCTGGCCTCTGTGAGTTCGAGGCCAGCCTGGGCTACAGAGTGTTCCAGGAAAGGCACAAAGCTACACCAAGAAACCCTGTCTCGAGAGAAAAAAAAAAAGGAAAAAGCAACAGAGTTATAGAGCTACATGTACACCTCAGCTCACTTACCTAACCTACCAAAGTCCCAGTTCAGCACTAAAAAAAAAAAAAGAAAGAAAGAAAGAAAAAAGAAAAGCAGGGAAGGGGGAGGGGTGTTGCATGTCTTTAATCCAACACTCAGAAGCCGGCAGGTCTCTGTGAGTTCCAGGCCAGCCATTACTACATAGTGAGACCCAAATAAATATAAATAAATAAAGTGGTCTCAAAATAAGTGCATAAAGCTGAGCATGGTGGTATGCAATGGAATATTCCTTTACACTGTGTGAATATGTCACTATGATTAGTTTAATAAAGAAGCTGACTGGCCAATAGCTGGGCAGAAAGAGAACCAGACTAGGAGAATTCTGGGAAGGAGGGTGGAGTCTGGAGTCGCTAGTAGATACACAGAGAAGTAAGATGGACATGCCATATTGAGAAAAGGTACCAAGCCACATGGCAAAGCATAGATAAAAATATGGGATAATTGAAAATGTGAGAGTTAGCTAGTAACAAGCCTGAGCTATTGGCCAAACATTTATAATTACTATGAAGCCTCTGTGTTGGTTACCTGGGAGTGGTTTGCAGGACAGACTTCCAGCTACAGTGGTATGTGCCTTTAATCTCAGCACTCCAGCAGGTGGGTCTTTGGGCTTAAGACCAGTCTGGTCCACATAGTGAGTTCTAGAACAGCCAGGTCTACACAGAGAACCCTGTCTCAAAAACCACCTAAATAAAGCTGGGCGGTGGTGGTGCATGCCTTTAATCTCAGCACTTAGGAGACAGAGACAGGCAGATCTCTGTGAGTTCAAAGCCAGCCTGGTAAACAGAGTAAGTTTTGTGTAACAGCCAGGGCCAAGGCTGTTATACAGAGAAACCCTGTCTTGAAAACAAAAACAAGTAAATAAATAAAAAAAAAAAGGAGGGGCGCCTAATTAAGGCCACTTGCTGCTCTTCCAGAGAACCAAACTTTAGTTCCCAATATCAGACAGATCACAACCACCTGTATTCCCAGCTCCAGGAGATCCAACGCCCTCTTCTGGCTTCCACAAGCACCAGCATACACACATAATCTTACATAAAAAATAATCTTTAGCCGGGCGGTGGTGGCGCACGCCTTTAGTCCCAGCACTCGGGAGGCAGAGCCAGGCGGATCTCTGTGAGTTCGAGGCCAGCCTGGGCTACCAAGTGAGCTTCAGGAAAGGCACAAAGCTACGCAGAGAAACCCTGTCTCGAAAAACCAAAAATAAAAAAAAATCTTTAAAAAAAAAAGGCAAGCCAGGCATTCTGGCACACACCTACAATCCCAATTCTCAAGAAGCTGAGGCAGAAGGAACAAAAAGAATACGAGGCTAGCCTGGTCTATATCATGAGTTCAGTTTAATTAAACTGTTATCCCAGCACTCCAGAGGCAGAGGCAGGCTGGTGTCTGTGAATTTCAAGCTAGCCAGAGCTATACAGAGAGATCGATTTATTCTGTCTCAAAAAGAGTAAATATAATAAAAGAGTTCAAGGTTATCCTCAGCTATATTTCAAGTTCCGGTTCTAGGCCAGACTTGACTCAATGAACTCTACAGTTGCTGGGGACTCGGCTCAGTGGGAGAGAACCTGCCCAGCGCACACAAGGTCCTGTACTCAATTCCCAGCGTGGCAAAAGGAAGATAGTAGGCCATCGAGCCTGGCGTGGTGACACATGCATGGAAGCAAAGAACATAGAAGGCAGAGGCAGGAAGATCACTGAAAATTCAGTGCCAACCAGGATAACATTGTGAAACCCTTTCTCAGAGAAAAATAAATAAATAGTAAGATAGGCATGAAGCAGGAACTGATAAATGAAGATGATCAAATTATTTCCAGTGGCTCCGAAAAACAGTCTTTGTGGTGTTGAACTGTGGAGGGCCAGGTATGGTGGTAAATACCTGTAATCCCAGCACTAGGAAGGCAGAGCCAAAGGATCTCTGTGAGTTCCAGGCCCACCTGGTCTATGTATCAAGTTCCAGGTCAGCCAGGGCTACAGAGTAAGGTCCTAGCTCAAACAATATTAAATTAAAGTTTAATTTTTAAAAAAAGTCTCACATGAGATGGTGGGATGGCTCAGTGGACAAAGGTGCTTCCTGCCAAGTCTGAGGATCTGAGTTTGATCCCTGGAACCCAGATGGTGAGAGGAAGAAACACATCCCAAAGAGTTGCCTGACAGTCACACTTGTGCTGTGGCACAAGAGAGAGTGCGCGTGTGCGCACAAAAACAACGAAAATAATTAAATGTAAAAAAATTAACAGAAAATAAGAATATAAAAATACTGATATCTTTTTACCACTAATAATAATATTTGTAATCAGTTCAGCATAGAAGCAGGAATTTAAAAAAAAGAAGACAAGTATGGTAGCAGATGCCTTTAACTGCAGCACTTGGGAGGCACTAGTCCACATGAAGAGCGCTAGGCAAGCCTGGACGCCATAGTGAGTGAGACCTTGTTTCCAAAAAAAAAAAAAAAAAAGTGTATGTCTTGGATTTTTTTTCAGCCAGGCCTTTTGGGAAGCAAATCCAGGAGGATCCCAGTTCAAGGCTACACACAGAGATTCAGGCCAGCCTAGACTACAGAGACCCTGTCTCCAAAACACAAAACAGTATTTTTTTAAAGTATGTATTTTTTTACTTTAACATTTAATTTTCATTTTTATTTCTTATTTTTATTTTTATTTCATTTTATTTTTTTAGGTTTTTCAAGACAGGGTTTCTCTGAGTAGCCCTGGCTGTCCTGGAACTCACTCTGTAGACCAGGCTGGCCTTGACCTCAGAGATCCGCCTGCCAAGCGCTGGGATTAAAGGCGTGCACCTGCACCACCACCACCACCACCACCACCACCACCACCACCACCTAGCTGCATTTAGTTTTCAAATACAAATAATTTTAATTCATCTATTCTTCAAAGTTTGGTAATTTTCCTCCAAAAATCTCCAATCTTCCTCCAAGAGGAAGAGTATATGTTCAATATGGATGTGTTCTATACGGACATGGGGAATTTCCCAAGGGGGGAAAAATGCCTGATGCAATCTGTACAACTCTACTGTCAAGACTTTGGCAGAACTTCAAAATACTCCTTACATTCAAACTCTCTAATCAGGAACCCACTGGTCCAAAGGAGACAGGGAGCCCAGTTTATTTACTTAGACACAGTGCTCTGTCAATGCCCCGAGTCAACAGTAATGAGAGCTTTAATACACACTGTGGCACACAGTTCAAAGCGAAAATAACGATAGCCCATTGGGGTAAGAGTCAACCTCCTTTATTAACAAAGACTGCTATGACTAAGGACAAAAAGGTAAAAGGCATGCTAAAAACGGACAAAGTGCAAGAGCTGCCAGATTACAGTGAGTGGCATGGGGAGACACAAAGGTCCAAGAAGTATGTAATTTATGCCCACATAAGCACCCTTAGTTAAAGGAAATGCAAATCAAAACAATTTTATACTTTCAGTCACAGGGTCTCTCTATAGCTCAAACTGGTCTGGAAATCACTATGACTATATAGACAATCTGGTCTCAAACTCATAGCAAACTCAGTCTCTCCAGTGCTGAGATTACAGGCATGAGCCATCATGACTAGGACTTTATACAAATTTGTTTTGTTGTTTATGTACAAATTTTTAAATGCAAGAATTTATTTGTGGACTGGAAAGATGTCTCTATAGGTAAACTTGCCACTAAGCCTGAAGACCTGAGTTCAATCCCCAGAACTCCTATGGTGGAAGGAGAGAACAAACTCCCACAAGCTCTCCTCCCACCTCCACATTAGATAGTATAAAATGTCAAAGAATTGATACTTACACTGTGTTACTGGACCTTCAAAGCCAGGTAATACAATTAAGACTAAACTCTTTGTTCCCATGACACTGAAAGGAGATATAAGTGCAGAAAAACGGAACCTCTCAGGCACTGACAGCTTATACAAGGCTATATACAATTATACAGGGCAGAGCTGGGGAGGGGCTCAGCAGTGAAGAGCACTTGCTCTTCAGGGATCTGAGTTCAGTTCCCAGTACCTACAGTGGGCAGCTCACAACAGCCTCCAGTTCCAGGGAATTTGATGCTTTCTTCTGGCTTCTGTGGGTATCTACACACTCACATAGGCACACACATTCAGAAATAAAAATCAACATGAATCTAACAAAAAAAAAATTATCCAAGCACGAGAAACCTGTTGTCAAAAGTAAGATTATCCCCTAAGCACACATGGCTGTGTCTGTATCTATGCCTGTAGACAGAGACAGCATCTGGATAAAGGAAGATAAAGCCACTGAAGCCTTTCAAAGGCTATGCCAGCATTATCACACCTTTACAACAAGCAGAAAAGGCCAGAGATAAGTTAGGTCCTGTGCAGAGGAAAGTGGAATGGCTGGAGCGCTAGCCATGGCCATCTTTCAAAGTTCAAGCCAGAAGAGAGGGGCATGCTGTGAAGATGCTTAGAATCTCCTACTGTCACTTGAATCAGAAGACTACAATTCAGAATGCAAAAACATCATTTGTGACAAGAAACCAAGATCCTCTTACATCCAGTTCTGGAGAAATCTAGAACTAATGCTCACATTTAGGAAAAACAGTATTTTTTCATTTAAAATGTTTATTGAACTTTTAGTTATTTTGTGTGTACGGGCCCGTGTGGCACAGTATCCACGTGGAAGTCAGAAGACAAGTAGAGGGAAGCTTCCACATTCAGAAAAGGAAAATTAAGAACATTCTAGGACACTCACAGAGAAAGAGGCAATCCTCGAGTTGCTTAGCTTGTTCTTAGGCAGGATCTTACTATGCAGCCATCCATGGTCTGGAACTCACTTCGTAAACTGCTTACCTCTGCCTCCCAAGTGCTGGAAGTGGACATGACTGTCCACATCCCTAATTACTAGTCCAATTTTGTTTATGACCTACCTCCTCAAGCCAGCTTTCCTGTTATCTATCAAATAGGGATAATGGCATACCTTGGGTGCTGTGAGAGGATCAGAGCAGAAAAGTCTCTAAGGGGCCGACTAAAATGTCTAGCATAGGACTGGAGGACATAGCACAGGATGTATGCTTTAGCATACAGGAGCTGTGAGTGCAATTCCCAGGACCTTAAAAAGATAAAATAAATGCCAGACGCCATGAAGCACGCCTGAGAGACAGAGACAGATTTGAGATCATCCTCCACTACGAAGTAAGTCTGAGGCGAGTCAGTGCTACAAATACTACAAGTGGTTTCAAGCAGGGCCCTGTCCTGCCTCACACCCCACCAGGCTATTAAACTTGACAGCGTGGAGACAGGACAGATGAAGACAGGGAGGGGAGGGAAAGTTTAGTTCCATTTTGTGGGTTGTTTTTTGTTTGTTTTTTATTTTATAGCTGCAGAAGCCAGAAAAGTTGGGTCCCCTGGAATTGGAGTTACAGATGGTTGTGAGCCCCCATGTGGGTGCTGGGAATCAAATCCAGGTCCTCTGGAAGAGGTGATAGTGCTATTAACTGCTCAGTCATCTACCCAGCTCTGTGTGTGTGTGTGTGTGTGTGTGTGTGTGTGTGTGTGTGTGTGTGTGTGAGAGAGAGAGAGAGAGAGAGAGAGAGAGAGAGAGAGAGAGAGAGAGAGAGAACTTTCTTTTATGTCAGTATCTTTCTAATATGTGTGTCTGTGCATCACACGCATGCCTGGTGCCTGTGGATGTCAGAGGGATGTTGTATCCCCTGGAACTGGAATTTCAGACAGTTGTCAACTGCTGTGTGGATGCTAGGAGTTGAACCCAGACCTCTGCAAGACTAGCAAGTGCTCTTAACCACTCAACCATCTCTCCAGCTCTCAAGAGGATTGTGGGGTTTTTTTTATGTAAGTTTTTCTTGCCGGGTAGTGGTGGCACCCGCCTTTAATCCCAGCACTCGGGAGGCAGAGCCAGGTGGATCTCTGAGAGTTTGAGGCCAGCCTGGTCTACAGGGCAAGATACAGGACAGACACCAAAACAACACAGAGAAACCATTCCTTACATGTATGAGTATTGTGCCTGTATGTATGTGTACACCACATGTAGACAGTGCCCAGAGTGTCATCACATATGCTGGACCTAGAGTTACAAACGTTGCTAGTCTTCTGACATGAGTCCTAAAACTGACCCCAAGTCCTCTGCAGTAGTAGTCAGTGCTCATAACCACTGAGCCATCTCTCCAGCCCTGGGAAAAAAGGTTTAAAAACTTTCTAAAAAAAGCTTTCTGCCGGGCAGTGGTGGCACACGCCTTTAATCCCAGCACTTGGGAGGCAGAGCCAGGCGGATCTCTGTGAGTTCGAGGCCAGCCTGGACTACCAA